GGTACTGTTTTTAGACATTATCCGAGTGTCGATTCACAAAGGTTACAAAAAACTGACTCGAATGTCAAACATATTATCAAACAAAATGTTTAAACGTTGAGTCACATCTGTAAGTCTCAGCTTTGCAAGCATACTTCCACCGGAACCCAAAAACTTTGGTTTCCCAAAAGCTTCCATTCGAGTCATGAAATTAGTTACTCAGAATGATTGAAGTTGGCATCTTTTATTGCTTTAATTAGGACAATATCTGATTCGTTTACGAAAACGGAGGACAAAACAATATAGCGAATATTTTTACGGCAAAAACATAAGAACTGTATTTATGCACATCTCTAATCGAAACAACAGACATTATTGGAATCGAAACCCATCTGATTCAAGATTTTTCTTTACCTCACTTCTGTTATATTGAAATTGACACTGATTATCATGAAAAAAAACGATTATGATTATCACGGTTATAATGGGTATACAAGGAAATAGAAAGTATTAATAGTTAAAGGAAAGAAAAGGGTTAAATGTAAACAGCGCATTTACTGTTCAACATCAAATTGATATTGCGTGGTAAAAGGTTAACAAACGACTCACTAAACTCTTCCAAACTCAGTCTGTTTCAAGTAATTCAGTCGTGCTTTTCATCCACTTGAGCAACATTAATGTATCAAAACGAAAAAAAGGAAAAAAAGTTAACGATAATTCACTCATTTCATCATTCAGTGTAAATTACTTGATATCCATGTTCCTCTCGTAACATCCAAAGTGGGAAATTATCCATAAAAGAATAAAAAAGGAAAATTCTTCATTCAGTTCACTTGAATTCTCATTCAAATCACATTGATATTTCCGTGCTTTTCCTGATTGAAACTCAAGAAAAGTAAAAGTGTGTTCCATCATAGACTGCAAAACCATTGAAAAAACATTCGCCTTCAACCCAGAATCAACCAACTCAAAGGTAAGAACTTTTTCATTCTCAAACTTGATTTGAATGTTTCATCAAATTAGATAATCTTCTGAGCCTCACTGGTGCACCAATTGGGTTAAGCAAAAGACAAAGGCTATTAACCAGTCAATATTGAAAGGCAATAAACTGGAAACTTTTACATGTCTAACAAGATAATGTTTAATCATCATTTATTCATCAAGTTGAATGAAAAGTTAGTCTCGATCATTTACCGCGAAGAAAGTATTGCTCATTTAATAATCATATTTACTTGATAATCGTATTCGCTGGAATCAGTTTTTTTTACTCTTCTTTTACTCTCAATATTCAACTTTGAATATTATTCTCGGTTCATTCAACGATATTCAATTGATATTTTGTTTCCAACCTAAACTTTATTAAATTATCATTATCATTACAACTGAATAATTCAGTTCATGATGAAGTGTTTTCCAATTTCTTTCCTTTCTTTTTCTCGAAATTTTCTTCAATGAAATGGAAAAAAATTTCTTTCCAATCTTCAAACTTTTATTATCGATTACAATAAGACTATCATCTTAAAAAGAGAAACTGAACTTTCAACAAAATTATCGGCTTTTGACTCTTTGATGATAACAATGACCCAGAACTGTTCTGTCCAATTAATGAAGATAACATGAGAAGTTGAACGTAAAAAATGTTGAACACTGGAAGGGCAGAAAAAATTGAAGAAAAATTCCAATTCCAAAAAGAATGCAATATTCTTAATAATGCATGATTTGATGCTATTCGCAATGAGAAGAAGAAAGTTGATGAAAAAAAAGAAGTTTAGACAAATTCTGAAGATTCTGTTCCATTACTTTATCTCTTGCTTTACCTTCTATTGAAACATTTCTTTCCTCGAGTTTCTGTTTTCCATTCACTCCCAGTTATCATCAAAGTTATTATCAACTCAATGTCCAACTTGTTTAGCAACTTGTTAATCTGTTCCAACACTGAACTTAGTCTGCATTTCAAGAGTCTTGAAATTCTATTCATCATTGTAACTCAAAAAATCTTTACCAATTCAACTGAAAACTAAAAGAGTTCGACATTTTGAGTGAAAAGGAAAGTTCGAGTTCCAATTTTCTTCTTTTCATTTGCTTCTCTGGCTACTTACCTTTTGTTTACACTTTTCACGTTACTTTCCTCTTTTGTGTTACCTGGTTATTTCCGTTTAATCAAATTCGTTCCCTGTCTTGTCAGATAATTACATTTTTCAGTAAACTTTGCTGACAAGTTTACTTTGTCTTGTTGATCCATGCTGGTGATATTGACAGACAATGAAATGAGCCAAATATTCATGTCAGAGTCGATGATTGAAAAGAGCATTTGGATAATTGTTCGTTTAGATTGATTCCAATGAAATGTCAAGATTTTCACTCACTATGAATGCCTGGATAGTTGAACTTTTTTCTCCAAGAAAATGAATTTTTCCATTTCTCATTCAACTTTTCAATTTAAAATGTAAATTTTTTCCCTCTGAATCTATTCTTACAAATTTTGCTTTTGTTTCATTTCAAAGTTAGACAATTTTAATGAATTAAAATGCAAACAATAGTTTCATTGAAATTCACTCGAATGATTAGTCTATTTGTTCAACTCTTTTTTACTCTTATTTGCTTTCCTTCCTTTTCTCCTTATTTTATAAGGAAAATAATTTCAAGTTATAAATCTATTCAAAAAGAGGATCTGAATAAGATTATCAGATTATCTGAAAGCAATTCTATTGATACAACCATGGATATGAATTTTTTACTAATTTATCCTCTTTGAGGTTTCCTTTCAATCAAATGGTTGATATAAAAGCTCTGAAAGAATCCCTTCATCGTAAGGAAAAGTGTAAATTGGGGAAATTTGTTAGGTTCAATGAACATGAATGATTCCAAATAATGAGAAATGATTGAATTGGAACGGAAAAGCAAAACTCTAAAGATTTTCATCATTTTGAGGTTTTCCAGTTTCAATAGCAAGTGAGTGCTAGAAGAAACGAAATAGTTTCATGAAAAGAACTGTAATGAACTAGCGAAATTGAATGTTTAGACATTTTTTGTATCGGTTTGTTGGATTTTAAGGGCAACTTCACTTTTCGCTTTTTAACTTTACGAAATTGATCGAAATTTCAAAATGAATATTGTCCGACTATCGAAGTGAAGACATTCTAGAACTTGGTTCAATTACGAGCCTGTGAGGAGCCTAAATTAACTATTAACATGATTGTCTCTATTGTCATTACATAATAACACTTCAATGATTGATAACCATGGAGAGTGAGCGTCTGGTTGAGAGATTAATATGATTTCACTAATATTAATAACAGGATTGTTGACAGTTTAATAAGATCGACAGAGAAGGACAAACTATCTTGTAAAGTTGGTTAATTCATGAGACTGTTGAAAGGTGTGATAACGTGATAATTATCGTGATGGACAAAGAAAAGTTCGTGTTCAAGAATTTTGATCTGTAAATTGAACACTAAAAGTTATGATTAATTGACATTGTATATGAAGGGAAAGACATTTTGACCATTTTTTCATTCCAATTTGTAGTCTTCAATGTAATTTGCAACTTCATTGTTTCATTCAATGATCAAGAGATTAATTTCAAGAGAGACAAACAGAAATAGTGAAAATCATCGGAATCGATTTGATCTTGAATTGAACATGCAAAGTTTGTTCCACCTGATTGATTCTGAAAAATATGATGAGCATGAAAATTTCAAGGAAAATGAGCCAATACTGAGAATGATTTTTTTTTGGGTTTTGAAGAGTTAAAGTGCAAGTTAATGTTGAAAAGGTATCAAGTTTATAATGAGACGAATGTTTATACAAGGGAAAAAGAAAAAACTTTTTTTTCTTTCTTCGTTATTCAGTTTTATTATTTTGCTTTTTTCTGCTACTTTTTTGTATTGGAAAGGAACGTAAAGGAATAAGGTAAGAGATTGAATTGTATTATCATGTAAACGAAAATGAAATGTTAACAGAATTGGAATAATAATGTTGAGTTGAAGAGGATACAAAACAGAAGGAAAGAAAAGGAAAATAAGATTTTTTGGAAGAAGAGAAAGAGAAAGTAAAGAGAAAAGGTGAACAAGGTGAATGAAAGTATAATACTAATCTGTTCATTGAGTTGAAGAGTTGAAGAGAATGATGAAGATGAAAGTGAAATGAAATCAATTGTAAGAGTTGCCTGATTCAACTTTTCAATCAAAGTGTTGCTCTCTGTAAATGTCCAGTTTGTAAATGGTTCATTACTTTTGTGGCTGTGTAAATTTGTTGGCTCTAAATAAGCTCCAATGACTTGTCAATAGCAATCTTACCAAACAAACAGCTAGACTTTGTCCGTTTTCATCTTAAAAAGTGTTTTTTCATCATGAAATTTACCCTTCACATCACAACTTTTGCCATCCGTTTTCATTTATCAATCAATCCAAGTGCATGTGTCGATCAAAAAAGGCAGTCATGTATGCCCATTGTCACCTAAAGGGTGCAAGCAGTAGCACTAAAATTTAGTCCATGAGTGGGGTCTCAGTAGTCATAGAAATATTTTGCAAAACAAAACTTAATTTGAAACCCTTCATAACTTAGCATTCTCAGATGTCGAATCGACCAATTGTCAGAATTTCTAACTCGAATGTTATCATGCAAAACAAAACTTTATTCACAGGCTTACTTTGCCTCTCTACATGAGCTGAACATCAGCATCTCTGGTCTTGGTTCTCCCCAACACCAACATTTATTAACAGTCACTATTGTCCTGCCTTGAAGTTAAACTCTGGGAACACATTAGTGACTGCAGTACCTTGACTTGACTGAAACCTGAAAGACGCAGCTTGTAGCATTGAAGCATTGAAATAAGGTCTCAATTCGGGTCATTAAAATGAAAGCCCAGATGTGTTGACCCTTAAGTATTGTATTAATATTTGGTAAAAATAATGAGGATGATAATTTGAGACGTCCAAAAGTCAATCGTAATTCTGTTTTCTTTGCAAAGCAAGAAATTTTTCTTTCAGATTTCACTCCATATTATTGCTGAAAGTGAAGCTTTTGAGTTTATTGGAAAAAGATGAAGACAAAATGTCAAAGAAGGTTGATTCAATTGAAGAAGACCAAAGAACCTTCAAGATATAATACATCGAAAAGGAGTTTCAAGTTTTTTCCCAATTCTTGGTCAGCTTTTTACAGCTCATTCCTCATCTTTTCTCCCTTATAAACTGATAATTGAACTAATAACTAACTATTCGTCTTCTTTTTTCTTTCTTCTTATAATGATCTCAACATGGTAGAGACTTTTTTCTTTTCATTTTGTAATATTATTCTGATAACAAATCTTTTCTTGTCTTTTTCATTCCTATCATTTCAAAAAAACCAAACGATAAAGTTCTGATTACAATTGAAGTTTTCATCTTTTTTTGCTTCATAAGAAGTTGAATGAATGGTAGGGAAAAAATCAAAAGATAAACCAATTCTTATATTGAACAAAAAGAGAATGTAAAATTTTCGAAAACTGTTTGACCAATTCTCACAAAGACAAACTGCTTATCATTGATATTGACAGAAGATATAAAAATGCTTTGGATGATGATATTATTTTAGCAAAGGCAAAGTTGAAACGATGAGCAAAACTCGAATAAGTCGATAAAAGATTTGTCCAAAAAATGTTTATCATTAGATCTGGTCAAGCTTTTCAGTTTGCTTAACAATCTATTTGGACAATATTCCAGACTTAATAGCCTCCCTGGAAATCTCATGGAAAGATAATGTTTACCAAAAAAGCCAACAAGTAATCGTTGGCATTTGCTGAGCTTGGAAAAGGCAAAGAACGAAATTTTGGAAAACTTTATTGACAATTAAATAAGCTCATCATGCTCAATGAATCTTCAAAAATCTAATCAAAGAATTGTCATGCAAGTTTTCAATGGGTTAATCTTATGGAAATATTTTTTGAATTTTCCATTCTTTCAGACTCATTCATGGTAATTTCAATGAATCTCC